ATCAGTAATTCAAATAAAATGTCAGTATGTAATATAAGTGGTCAGTATTATTAGTGCAAAAACTGTTAGTATTATCATTAAAATATTAGTAAACATAATAATTTATAAGTATTTTAGATAGATGAAATAGATAATAAAATGTCCTAACCTAACCTAACGTAATCAACAATTTAAATTCTATTGATCGAAAAACATATTAATATCGACCAAATAAACAAAATTGTACTGACGAAATGCGATTTAATACCGACAATTAATTATTTATACTGACCAAGTAAATAGAAGTGTTTTTAGAAATGACTATTTATAGACGAATGTTTAGAACATTTTTCTAGTAACTTCTAGAACAACGATATTAGAATTTTTTTTAAATTAAACCCTAATAAATTGACCGCCTAATACAGCAATGTCACAGTAAGAATAAGGAGATAATTACCGGTATATTTCTTCACTGCAAAAGATAATTTTGTAAACGTCATTTACTCCTTCTTTTTCTCAATGTTATTATTTTATTAGACACTCGTGCATTTAATGTTCTGTACAATTCTTCTTTATCGAAGTCTTAAAAAACCTGATTGTTTTGAATTAGAAACTGGTTTTTACGACAGCACAGTTACTAGAATTACGTATATAAATAATCATAAATCCAGAAAGGAAGGCAACATTTTCAATCTCTCCTTTTTCGAATATAATCCTCTTCCCGAACAAAATGGCGCCTTTCTATTTTCTTTCCGTCGTCATCCGCGTATCTCTTGACGTCACCGAAGAGGTACACACGAAGGACGTACTATTTTCGTTGGCCTGGAAATTTTGTTCGTGCATTATGTGCGACGTTCGACTTCCTCGTTTCAAAGATGAAACGCGTCATTCTTGATGCTGGGACTTCTTACTTTTTGCGATTCAAATATTCGAATTAGCACGTGGATGACGGAACGAGGTCGAATTTTTGTTTGGTGATCTCCAAATGGAAGAGGAATTTGTATTTAAATGATCGAAGAACCGAAATATTTCACCATTTTGTTTCGATATTTTCCTTGCTCGTGATGGAATTTTGGAAATTTCTGCATATATACAAATCGAGACACCTTAATTTATTAAGTCGAATAATTTATAAGACGAAATATCATTCGGATATCGACAGAATTAGAGAGACTAGAAATTTTTAAATCTCTTTATTCGAATGTTGATACTTCTCTATGATTATGATTCAATCGTCAATTAAATAAAAATAAAAATTTTGCTAAAAATTTTCAACATCGAATTCAAATATTTTTTTCACTACGGAGGAGAAATATTATATTTCCTTTCATATTCCTTTCCAGACAACGTTTTCTTCAATTAGAAAATATAGAAGAAATTCATGAATCAAACTTAATTATGCACATACAATTCTCCCATAATTACTTTCCTCATATTCCAATCATTTTCTGTGTTATGCAGTTAACGCTGATAATATTCATATTCACGTGAATCACCTATTGAATATTATCTCTTATTATGAAACATTCGTAAACAGTTTGACAAAGTTCAAATTGCAACGAAAGACAAATTCGTCGTAATATAAAAATTTAGGGGAAACGAAGAAAAAATGGTAAAATTAAATTGCGACGTATAATTATCCAGCACTGAGGCACAAAGAGGGGGCAGAGTGTAAAAGAACAAGGGAAAGTGGACTGTTCGTTGTCAGACGTACTCAGCGAGTAGTACAAGAAGAGCAATGTCTTGTTTTCTCGATCGTAGACTAGCAACAGAGCATAATAAGAGAAACTGTTGCATTTACTACTGTTTCTTCGTTAGTTATTACCTTTCTATTCAATATTCCGCGGAAAAATTCAGCAAATGTGTCTATTGCTCCTTCGTGAAATGGCGAAACCAGGTGGTTAAGGAGAAACGGATCGTCTGTAGTCAGACGTGCCGCTAGTTCATCATAGTACAATATGTACATATATTTTGAAATAAAAATTGAGAAGGTACGTAGGATCAAGGAGGGATTGAAAAAATGATTGCAAACAGAGCGTGAGTTGCAGTTATTATTCTACGTAATATCTAAGTATTATAATAAATAAAACTAAAAAATGAAATGTGTATTCTATCATTCATAAAAATTTCATAAACTGTCATTTTTAAACGTTTGAATAATACTACTTGCTATTCTTTGACAAGTACTTTTTCTAAATTAATCTTTTTCCACTTAGGCCCTTTTTGCGTGTACCTCTTCAATTCTCGATTATGTCTTTATTATAAGTTCTTTTTCAATAATTCACTGCTGACAGAAATTTTTGTTTGATAAATGTGAATCTGTATTATCATTAATGTACGACTATGTGGAGATTCTTTTTCTTAATACTGAATTACGGTTACAATAATGTCTTTGATTGTAGGGGCTAATTCGTTAAAAATATTATCGTCATAATTCTAAAGCATCCATTATTCAAAAAACATTTACTTTATTGCAAAATTTCATACAAATTAAAAAGATACACATGTACAAGTATATAATTACACCTGTCCCCCGATTTACACGGATGATCGGTTCCTCAGAATACCGTGTAAATCGAAATCATGACTTTTTGTATGAAAAACCGTGTAAATCGGGGAAAAAACAAAATGCGCATAATTTAGCCCAATGATTTAACTAAATTCATTATTTTAAATGTAAAATAAAAATAAAATAAAAGTGAAAAACAAAAAATATTCAGGGTCAGGGTTTAGTTTCGAGCGAGCGATCGACGAAGGCGAAAATAGCCGGTCGCCAATGAAAGATCCGCGGCGGCAGCAAACTTTACGTTACAATATGAATGCTTTTTGTGTGCAAAAAAAAGGGGAAATTCTGTTCATTTTTTGGTTTAATGTCAGTGTTAACAAACGAACGGTACTAAAAAATGACTGTACAAATATGTGCGCAGCATAAACTTTTACTTTTAACAGTTTATATTTCTGAAAAGCCGTTAT